GAGGGGGAGGGAGGGGAAAAAATGAGGAGCTGATGCCAGGGGCTTAAGTGGAGGGCAAATGCTTTGAGAATGATGAGGGCATTGAATGTACAAATGCGCTTTACACAATTGATGTATGTATGGATTGTAATAAGAGTTGTATGAGCCCCTAATAAAACAATTAAAAAAAACAAAAAAGGACAGAGGAGAATTGCTCCACAGGGTTTCTGGAGTTGTAAATCTTTACAGAACTAGGCTACTTCATCTTCCTCCCTGGGAGTGACTGGTGGATTTGAGCCACTGACATTTTTGGTGGGTAGCCCAGAACTTAACCTACCGCATTACCAGGATGTCATCACTGCATCCAGGGGCAAAGTTCTCAAAACCTAACATTGAACAAACTCCTTCACAGAGTGAATCACTGAACTCGGAGACTTAGGAAAACAGTCTCAAGGGACATCTAGGTCAACAGGCAAAATACAGTGCACCAAGAAAATAGTTTATATCCGCCTTGGGTAGTAGTAACTGGGGTCTTAAAAGCTTGAGAGTGACCAGTTAAGAGGCAGCTACTGGCTCCTCTTCATGCAGAGCAATGCAGGATGAAAACCAAAGCCTAAGGAAACCATGGCACAGGTTCGTAAATTTAATTGGCCTACCACCCCCATTTCAGGAAAAAAAATTACTCAGCGCATCCCTGGCAGTTAAGAACTTTTCTACAATCCAGTCTAAATACCTGCGTTTGCAGCCCACCTAGATTATTCCTGTGCTCCCAATGGGCAATACAGAATCAGACAAAAGGATGCGTGGCCACATAAACCACAACCTTCATTAGCCAGAGTCCAGAACTAACAGATGCCAGCTGTCACAAGCAACTGCACCGAAAGAATCAACAGAGCAGGTCCTGGAGAGAGTGGGAGAAAACTGTGGAACCAAACTGAAAAGTGTGTCCAAGATTTGTCTGAGAGAGAGAGTGGCAAAACCAAGATTATGGCCTTAGCTACATAGGTTCAAGCTAGGAACCAAACTCATCCTGATGACTCCGTTTTGAGTCAATGAACAGTCCCATGAGGGAAGTAAACGCTCCGTAGAAGACCAATCAACCATACAAGATCCCAAAGGCAGCGTTTTCCCACAGATAAAGCTCAGAGGGCCGGAAAGGGAGAGACAAGAAAGAGGAAAGAAAGCAGGAAGCAGAGAGAGGACGTGGGCAAGGTATACTACATTGTGGGATTCCAATCAATGTCATAAAACAAAACATGCACAGGTGCCCATTCACTGCCCTCATCAGTCTCAAAACATTTGCTCTCCACTAAAGCCTCACAAAAGCCATTTTTAAAAAAGTAGCCAAGAAATGTTTATTTCCAAGCAAGCATTATATACTCAAAAGGACAGGAGTTCTAAGAAAATTGCTTTCCAAAGACTCTAAATTTACTGCCATGGAGTTTATTTCAATTCATAGCAGCCCTATCGGTCAGGGTAGAACAGCCTCTGTGCATTTCTGAGACTGTCAATCTTTCCAGGGGGAGAGCGCCTCTTTAGGCTTGTGTATCTATGAAAGGCTGAAGTACATGTTATCAAAGTGCAATAACAAACATTTGTTTTTGCCACATATTCAATTAAACATACATCTGGAGATACATGCTCTGGTAGTTCTGAACAATTTACTACTATTATATGAATACCTATAAACATTCAATTGATTAGACTAGGATTAAATAATCAAAAAGTCTATGTACAAAGTAAAGACATGCTTATAAAACTTAAAAAGAAACCATGTATGAATTGTTGAATGGAAAACCAAATTGCCCTGTGAACTCCCGTTCCCATCACAATAAAATGCTTAGAGAGGGAGAGAGCTTGAGACAGAGTCTGATAGAGATGGAGGGAACCCCCGAGAGTATGGCCCCTAGACAAACTTCAAGTCTGGAACTGATCCCACTTCTGGGGATCAACTTTGCGCCAAACAATAGACAGACCTCTAAAGTGAATCATAACACGAGGGAGGGACGTATTCAGTAAATAAACCACATGAAACTAAAAGGGCAACATTTGCCCCAAAGTAACTAACAAAACAAACAAGCAATCAAATCAAGGTCTGATGTCAGGAAGGGCAGGAGAGAGGAACAAGTGGGCAGGGAGCCAGGGAGGAATGAGAAGGAGCGCGGTTCATTAGGGGATTGCATCACAAGATCCAGTATCACGAGACAAAATGTGCACACGTTGCTGAGTGGGAAACGAATCTGCTCTTTGAAATTTCACTCAGATTACAGTCAAAAGTAAGTAAATTTAAAAAAATGTGATCCCCAAGGCCATCGACGTGATTTCTGAGGGTTTCTGAGACTGTACACAGCTGCGGGAGCAGTGAGTATCATCTGTCTCCCTCAGAGGGCCTGATGGGTTTGAACCACTGACCTTGAAGTTAGCGTTCCAACACTGACTCAACGCTTACCACCAGGCCTAAAATCTAACCACAAACCTGGAGAAAACATTGAAATTCTGTTCTACGATTACTTTGTTTATTGGATAAAACAGTCAATAAGGAATCAATTTTATCCTAAGGTGAAATCTTAGTAATAATAATTGCAGCTAACACTGATGAAATGTCTACTATGTGCCACCACTGTTCAAATAACTCTATATTAATGAATCTTCTTCCTCAGGTCATGTGGACAGATATTTTAAAACCAGGAGCATATTTCATTTTATTATAAATTCTAGGAGCAGTGAGTGAATACTTACAGAATCAATACTTTGCATAAACATTATGGATCCCTTTGACTTTTGCACCTTATTAGGGAAAAATTGACAACCTTTTTCATACAGTTTTGTCTGAGGATCAACTCTGCATCGTTTTGTTACACAGCTGCCTCCTGAACATTGGGGAACTCCATTCTGACCAGTGATACCTGCGGAACACCTGAAAATATTTGACAGTCTTTGAGGCAGCCTGATCACGAACATTTTAAAAATTAACACCTTATCCAACTCATAGTTAAAATAGATTCTTAGCCATTTTTGTCCAATCTTTGCAGTTTTAATAATTTGGATATTGTCTCAGTAAACTTCTTAACACAAGGCACATTTCCAGCACAAACGAGTGTTTGCAGCTCTGGGAACGTGGAGTAAAAAGGGTCAAATTGGCTCCCACACGCTCTCGGTGCTCTGGATTGCAGTTGTTTTTGAAATTGGCAACAGGCGACTTTCAGATGAAGTTACAGAAACAAAAGAAATATTCATTTCATAATATAGCATCTGTTAGTCATCAAGACAAAAATGAATGATTGGTATTAGAAAAGTAATCAAATGAAGGATAATAAGACAAGTTACACCCTGAAGTCTTTTATAAAAATTTTAAGTGGACATGCCTTGTTGCTTCCACTCTTTTTGACGAGGCAGCAGCATAGAAGGGTGTATCCTCGTTGTACTCATCAAACACGCCCCACCGGAGGTGGGCCCACTCGTGGACCAACACTTTACCTGTGGGAAAAGATTTCAAATACATGTTTATAATTCAAATGGAAATATTTGTCTCATAAATAATTTAAGATTTAAAAAGAATCAAAGCATTTAAATTATAACTGCCAACACTTATTTTTGGGGTATATTATATTACATAGTACTTTGCATTCCACACCATTTAAAATAAACACACATTTATTATATACTTAATATGTACAGATTAGACTGGACTTTGGACCTTTGAAGCTAGTAGGAGAGATTGATGTATATCATAAATTTCAAGCCTCCTTTAAGACAGATCCTGTAACATTGTTTGAATCGTTCACCCTTCCCTGATCATTTCTCCTTTGAACTTTTCCTGAACGTTCTGTCCTCCTTACCTGTGCATACTTGGATAAGTTACTTAATCTGTCTACGCTTGTTTGTCATCTGTAAAAATAATTCTCGAAGAGAATAAGAGTACCTCCAAAGGGGTGAAAATTGGTTCTGGGAAGGCACAAAAACCTAATTATTATAATGGTTTGTGCCTCTCTTTACATATATTCAATGACATAAACAGATGTGCAGTGTATCAGTGTTATTAAAATGTATCGGGGCATTAGGGGAAAAAGAGGATTTCAGCCAATAAAAACAAAAAGTGTATAAATTGTTGAATAGGAGACTAATTTGGTCTTTGAAATTTCACTCAAACTACAGTAAAACTAAATAAAAATAATAACAACCCCCCCCCCTAGAAACACGGCTGTTCACCATAGACATATAATTGCAATAAAGTATATTTGAAATGATTTATTTTGAGTAATATTAGGCAGTAAGTATATGTTGTTGTTGTTGTTAAGTACCATTCAGACAGCCTTGGTCCACAGCGGCCCTAGGCACAACAGAATGAAACACTGCACACTCCTGCACCATCTTCACAGTTTGCCAATCTTTCTCGTCTAGAGCCTTCCTCTCTTTCGCTGCCCTTCTCCTTTACCAAACATGATGTCCTTCTTCCGGGACTAGTCTTTCCTGACGATATGTCCAAAGTATATAAGATGAAGTCTTGCCCTCCTTGCTTCTAAAGAGCACTCTGGCCTTACTTCTTCCAATACAAATCCCTTTGTCCTTTTAGCAGTCAATGCAAATTTTCAATGTTCTCTTCCAGCAAATTCGAATGCATCTATTATTCTATGGTGTCCAGCTTTAACACGCATATGATGCAATGGAGACTACCATGACTTGGGTCATGTGTACGTTAGTCCTCAAAGAAACATCCTTGCTCTTCAATACTCTAAAGAGGTCTTGTGCAGCAGAGTTAGTCCTAATGCAAGACATCTTTGGATCACTTGACTGCTGCTTCCATGAGCATTGATTGTGGATCCAAGTAAGACAAAATCCTTGATAACGTCAACCTTTTCTCCATGGATCATAATGCTCCCTACTGGTCCAGTCGTGAGGAACTTGTTCTTCCTTACATTGAGCTATAATCCACACTAAAGGCTAAAATTGTCACCAACAAGTTCTATAAGTCATCCTCACGTTTAGCAAGCAAGGTTGTGTCATCTGCATTCTACAGGTTGTTAATAAGCCTTCCTCAAATCCTGATGTTGCATTCTTCTTAATATACTCCAGCTTCTCTGATGATTTGCTCAGCATACAGACTGAATAAGGATAGTGAGACGATACAACCTTGATGCGTACCTTTCTGATTTTACACAATGCAGTATTTCCTTGTTTTCTGTTCACACAACTGCCTTTTGATCCATGTACAAATTCTGAATGCGCACAATGAAGTGTTTTAGAATTCCCCTTCTTCTCAAGGTTATCCAACTGAATTATGGTCCATGTAGTATAGTGCCTTTGCATAATCAATACAACTTTCCTCTAGTTCCTAAATGCCCCCCCCCCATCCCCATCATGATCCGAATTCTATCTTGCAAGTATGACTAGACCAGAGGATGTACACTGGTACAGACAGGAACTGGAAATACAGGGAATCCAGGGTGGATGATCCCTTAAGGATCAGTGGTGTGAGTGGCGATACTGGGAGTGTAGTGGGAGAGTGGGTTGGAAAGGGGGAACCAATTACAAGGATCTGCATGTGACCTCCTCCTGGGGGACAGACAACAGAAAAGTGGGTGAAGGGAGACGTTGGACAGGGAAAGATATGACAGAATAATAATTTATAAACTAACAAGGGTTCATGGGGGAGGGAGGGGATGAGGACCTGATGCCAGGGGCTTAAATGGAGAGTAAATGTTCTGAGAATGATGAGGGCAGTGAATGCACAAATGTGCTTTTCACAATTTATGTATGTATGGATTTTGATAAGAGTTGTATGAGCCCCTAATAAAATGATTAAAAAATCAATAAAACATAAGTAAACATCTTTGTGCTATCCTCTGCTTTGTGCCAAGATTCATGTGACATCAGCAATGATACACTTTGTTCCATGTCTTCTTCTGAATCCAGGTGAACTTCGGGTAGTTCCCTGTTACTGTGCGCTGTAACCATTGTTGGGTGGTCTTAAATAACATTTTACTTGTGTGAGATACCCATGCTCTTCTGCAGTTCGAGCATCCTGTTGGGTCACCTTTCTTTGGAATGAGCCCAGATATAGATCTCTTCTAGTCAGTAGGTCAGGTTACTTTCTTCCAAATTTCCTGGCATAGACAAATGAGTGTTTCCAGAGCTTCTTCATTTTGCTGAAACATTTCAATGGCTAGTCCACCAATTCCTGGAGCCTTGTTTTTGGCTAACGCATCCAGTGGCATTTGAACTTCTTCCTTCAGCACTATAGGCTCTCGCTTTCATGCTACCTCCTGGAGTGGACTGTCAACTAGTTCTTTCTGGTTCGGAGATGGTGTCTTCTTTCCAGCTTCCTTGGTGCTCTCTGCATCATTCAATAGTTTGCGGCAACTTGAGGCTTGCTTTTTTTAATTGAGTTCTTTTTCAGTTTCCGATGTAGTGAGTGTGTTGTCCCCTTTTGGTTTTCCAATTCTAGGTCCTTGCACATTTTGTTGAAGAATCTATCTTTGGCTTGTCCAGCTGCCCTTTGAAACTTTTATGTAGCTCCTTGACTCCATCTTTCATCCATTTGCTTTAGCTATGCTATGATTAACGGCAAGTTTCAGAGTCTCTGCTGACATCTTTTTGATCTTTTCTTTCTCCTCTTTTTAATAACCCCCCCCCCAAATGAATAATGGTCTTGATGTCTTCGCACAGCTCCCCAAGTCTTCTGTCTTTAGTATTCAGTGCATCAAATCTGTGTTTGGGATGCTCCCTAAATTTAGCTGGATAGACTCAAGTTTGTATTTTGGCTCCCAGCTTGCTCTAATGTTCTTCAGCTTTGTCCTGAACTGACATATGAGCGAGCAATGGTCTGTTCCACACTCGGTCCTGGGTCTGGTTTTACCTGCGACTATTGAGCTTCTCTACCATGTTTTCTCATAGATGTAGTCAGTTTGATTTCTGTGATTCCATTTTGAGAAATCCTTTTGTATTGTTGAAAAATGGCCTTTGTTATGAACAAATGGTTGGCTTTGCAAATTTCTATCATATAATTTCGATCGCCAAGTTCATATTTTCCAACTGCTTTTCCTTCCTCCTTGTTCCCAACTTTTGTATTCCAATCATCCATAGCGATTAATTCATCTTGATTGTCTGTTTGATTCATTTGTGACGGAAAATATTGGCAGGATTCTTCAATTTCTTCATTAATAACTGTTGTGGCTTGTGCATCCATTTGAATAATAGTCTTATTGATTTTATTTCCTTGAAGGCAGATAGGTATAATCCAATCACTGATAGCATTTTACTGTGATTTTAGCAAGATCTGACAGTGAAGGCCACATCACTCCTCTTAATCATGTTATTCCTGGGTAGTAAGTCATGCAATTTTCTGACCCAAAATGACCAATACCACTCCATTTCAGCTCACTAATGCCTAGCATATCAATCTTCATGTGCTCCATTCCACTCATAAGTATATAAAATCATTATTATCACACTACCATCATGATTATTAAGCTTACATATACACAACCATACTAGATATCAGGAAATGTAAAGATGAGTGATACGGAGTCCTTGCCTTGGAGACACTCAGAGATAGGGCATTGGAATTAGAATTTTTCCCCTTACAAATTTCAGAGTGAATGGAAGAATATGCATAAATCACCAAGCTGAGATACAGGAAGAAGAAACACTAAGAGAACTGTTTGTTAATAGCTGGCACAGTGGGTGAAGAGCTGGACTGTCCACCAATAGATGGATGGTTCAAACACACCAGCTGCTCCCTGGCAGGAAGCTGAGCTCGTCTGCTTTCATAAGGGTCTGCAGCTTTGGACCACGGCGGAACCGTGTTGCTTCGTTCTACGGGGTTGCTACAATCAGAATCGACTTGACGTCTGTGAGGGTCTTAATTTTATTCCCCAAAGCCTTGTAGTTTCAAGGCCTGGCTTTGTGGAATGTGACTTTTCCCTCCCTATCAGCAGCTGTATCACATTATGAAAGAAAGCCCTATCTAAGAGGGAGGGAAACTCTTATCAGACACTGTTAAGAAAGGGTGTGTGAGAAAAGATAAGGCATTAGCTAGACAAATCAGCCTTAAATATTAGCGGACTCCCTTCTTTTCTAAGTGGAGAGGAGGGCAAATGAGGGGTTGTGAGTTTGGAAGTAGAGAGGAAGAAGATTGGCACATCTATGTCTCAATCAGGGCATTTGCTGATTAATATAAGTGAAATGCATGCTTAGAGACCCGAGGAAAATGATAAGAGCTTTATAACCATTGCTAAAGGGAAGAAGAAAAAGAACTAAGGAGAATCAAGCAAAAATATTATTGAGTACTTTTGAGAGCTTCAGTGAGCTCAGAAAAGGTGTTTTACAATGATGTCAATTACTTTTATAATTACCTTCAACAGTCTTGGTCTGTATTAACAATAACCTAAAATATTCTAGCTGGATAATTCAATACTAGCAATTGGCATGTTGCAAGAATATATATATTTTTTATTAATAAATCATTTATTGGGGGCTCTCAGAGCTCTTATAACAAGCCATACATCAATTGTATCAAACTCATTTGTCCATATGTTGCCATCATCATTTTCAAAACATTTTCTTTCTGCTTGAGCCCTTGATATTAGCTTCTCTTTTTTCCCCTCCCTCCTTCACCCTCCCACTCCTGATAAATTATAAATTATTATTTTCATATCTTACACTGTTCACTGTCTCCATTCACCCACATTTCTGTTGTTCATCCCCCTGGGGGGTGGATTATACATCAATCATTATAGATGGTTCCTCATTTCTCCACCTTCTCCCCACCACCCCAGCTTTCCCCCACCCTCATGGTATCACTACTTCCATTACTATTCCTGAGGGGTTTATCTGTCCTGGATTCCGTGTGCCCAGAGCTCTTATCTCCAGTAGTGTACATGTTCCAGCCTAGCCAGATTTGTAAGGTAAAACTGTGGTCATGATAGGGGAGGGGGAAGGAAGCATTAAAGAACTAGAGGAATGTTGTGTATTCCATTGGTGCTATGCTGCACCCTGGCTGATTTGTTCCTTCCTTGTGACCATTCTGTGAGAAAATTGCAATTGTCTACAGATGGGCTTTGGGTCCCCTCTCGGACCCCCATCATTAGCATCAATATATTTGTTTGTTTGGGGTCTTCTGCTGTCCAATACCTGATCCCATAGACAAGCTGTGATCGCACAGGTTGGTGTGCTTCTTCCATGTGGGCTAGTTGCTTCCTCACTAGATGGCCTCTTATTTAACTTCAAGACTTTAAGATCCCAGTCACCATATCTTTTGATAGCTGGGCACCATCAGCTTTCTCACCACATTTGCTTATGCCCCCATTTTGTCTTCAGCATTCATGATGGGAAATTGAGAATCATAGACTGCCAGGTTATTAGAACAAAGTGTTCTTGCGTTGAGAAAGTACTCGCGTGGACCCAGTGCCCATTTGCTACATTAACACTTAACATTTAAATATATGTACATAGACCTATGTCCCTATTAATCTATTTATATATGTGAATGCCTATGTTTGTACAGCTATAATTCTCTTTTGCTTCATAGTTCTTTCCTCTATTTCTTTTTACTTTCCTCCTGTCTCACTGTCATGTTCGCCCTTCATTCAACACTCTACTTTCTCTTGGCTACATTGCAGTTGATCAGACACCATCAGACATTCTATGCCCTCCTCACCATCGATTTTAGATCTCTTATTGTTCCCTTGTCCCTGAGTTTGTTGGCTCTCCCGTCCCCTTCTTCCCCCATCTCCTCTCGCATGCCCTCCCGGAGCCATCGGCCCTGTTGTTTTCTCCTTGGGATTGGATGTCCTATCTTACATGGATAGACATGAGAAAAAAGAAAATTGAAGAAAAAGGGTGGGGGGCAGGGGGAGCCTACAAGTAGTTCCAGGCATGTCTGCTGGCCCTTATGATTGTTTTGTAATTGGATTTGGTGAAGTGCCACACCTTGCCCATGGATTCAGAAGTCTATTTTGGGGATTCCTCGGGGACTTCATTGCTTTGCTCCCCTTGCTGCTCTGTTGCGCTTCCTTTGGTTGCATGAATATTATATAAGAATAAAAATGGTGGGAGGATGGAGAGATTGACATTCTCAATTAAAACGACTGATGTTGATGGCCATTCTAGGAGAATATAGCTAGAAGGAGATGGGATGGGAAGATGCAGATTTCATATTTGGTGTGGGGAGAAATAGGTCCATGTAAGGAAAAGAACCAAGCCTAGCCGAACAGGCAATGGAAAAATGAGAAGTGAGTCTGGGGTGTGAGGATTCAAAATATTTATGGAATAGGCATCACTTGAGCTGGCCACTCCTTTAAAATGATTTACCTTTTCATCTGAAAAATAACATGTTTTCAGTTCATTTTGACAAACGCTCTCAATTCTTAGGTTGCATATGAGGAAATTACCATAAGTAATAGATAATTTCATCTGGGTCAATGAAATTAAATAACCAGCAACTCTACTGGGTTGAATAGTCTCGCATCAAGATTCATGTCTACCTGGAACCTGTGAATTTGACTTTATTTTGAAAGAGTCCTATAGTCAAACAGGAAGAGGTCATAATGGGATTAGGATGGACCATGAAATCATTACGACTGATGTACTTATAAGAAGAAGGACATCAGGACAGACCCATAGGGAAGAGCCCATGGGGAAACAGAGGCAGAGAGCAGAATGACTCATCTACAGGCCAAAGAACTGTAAGGACTGCCAGAAACCAGCTGGCAGAGCAAGGAACTAGGAAGAGTCCTCCTTGGTCTTTCAAACATGACTTTGCTAATGTCTTGATTTTGTATGTGTGGCCTCCGGCACAGGAGCCCTGAGAGTGTAGTGGGAGATCCGCAGGGTCGGCAGTACAAAACCGCTGAGCAGCTCTGTGGGAGAAACGCTGGGCTTCCTACCCCCATACACTCTTACAACCTCCGAAATCCACAGGGGGAGCTATGAGTCAACATTGACTCCATGGCAGTGAGCGAGCCTCCGGAAGTGTGAGAGAGTGCATGTATATGGTTTAAAGTCATCCAATTTATGGCACTTTGATACAGCAGTCCTAGGAAAAAATCATAGCAGCTAGCAACTAGGCTTTTCTCTCAGAACTTCCCAGTTTGCTGTGCATATACCTCCCCTGGAGCAGACACATGACTGCTTAAGTTCAGCCTGAAGAAGCAGAAAATGCATCTGTGGCAAGTACACCTAAGGAGAGCTTTTATTACTATTGCTATGTAGCAGACAGAACACTAAATACTTATTTCAATGTTTATAGAAGTCCTACAAAGTAGACAATCACAGAGACGCGGGGTCATTTGTCTAAGGTCATCTACAGGTAGCAAAAAAGGATCCAGGATTTGAATTTAGGAGTCTGATTATAAGACTTGCATATTTACCTGCATCCAAACTACCTCTTGCAAGTATTCTAAAATATGGATTTTTTTAACCCAAATTCCTACCTGATGGTCCATACTCGGCTGTTTTTTTCCCCAGTACAAAGTCAGGGGTGAGGTGAATGAACTCGCCCTTCTCTCCACAGTCCATGAAGTGCCTGGTGTATGGATCATCTCTACCTGGGTGGGTAGGTGGTGCGACTAAAATATCAGCCTGACAAGGTCAAAAAAAGATGGTCAACGCATCAGATATAGAATCGACAACATTGAGTCTGAAAATCTGTGTAACAATCAATTTTGGGTAAAATTGGTAACACTCAGAAATGCAATTGTTAAGAGGTTTTTGAGTCTTACGTGTTGGTAGCTCTCACGTCTTGGCCTCTTGTATTGATTGTTGTCGGTCCAATTCTCAGGAATTAATATAGATACCTTTCTGAAAAAAAATCTTTTTTCGGTCGCTTCAAACAGGTAAGTAGAAGCTTTAGTCACCATGTCCTGGTGTTGAAGGAGAAAAACATGTAAGCAGGACAGGCGAGAGTGGCCTCTATGAGCCCACGCCCTCCACAGGCATTTCCCATTTTAAGAAGCAATCGAAAAGGCAACTGACTGCTGAACAGGATCTCTGCCTCATCATTCCATCTCTGCCACCTGTCAACCCCAAATTGTAGCTTAATATCACACAGTTATTTTTTTCTCATTTTCCATAGTCCTCTCTTCAAAGGCAGACCCTTCTGTTTGTTGAGAGCAGGAATTATTTAAGCACAGACTTCGGCATCATTGAGCTTTGGTTCTAATCTTAGTCAATTTATGTTAGTGCTCTGAACTTCACTTTGCTCATCTCATAAATGGCTGTTCTTTCTTTTAGAATGAGTTTGAAAGTGCTGTACATACACCCAGACAGCTAGTGATGTGAACTGGTATCAATACTGTTTAGAAGTCTCAGTATAGAACAGCCTTAGTTAATACAAATCGAGGCAGGTCGACTATAGGAATGCATTTCTAAAATCTAAGAAGGAAGGCAGGGGAAGGTAGAGGCGTTGAGAGCCCCCCTGCTGATGGAAGAATTCCTAAGAGAGACAGTGTGTTGCTCAGCTAGCAAACTGAAAATGGTATCACTGGTGTCGTGCAGTATGTTTCATGTTGAGCTGCTAATTGTGAGTTAGCAGTTCATAACCACCTGCCACTACGAGGGAGAAAGATGAGGCTTTCTCTTCTTGTAAATAGTTACAGTCTTGGAAACCCACCATGAAAAACTTCAGAAAAAAGAAAGATAAAACCATTTCCCCTCAGCTTTTGAAAGAATGCGTTCTTCATTCTCCCTTTGTTCTCACTGCCTTTGAGTCCATGCTGACTCACAGCAACCCTCTAGAACAAGGTTGAACCGCCCCTGGGGGTTCTGAGACTGTAACTCTTCACAGGAGTAGTTAACCCTTTCTCCCTGGGAGCAGCATGTGGTTTTGAACTGCCGACCTTGTAGTTAGCAGCCCAATGGGTAACCGCAATGACCTAGGCCTCCTTGACTAGGCTATCAGGGGAACTTGTGCATGCGATCAGCACGCAATAAACAGTTATTTAAAGGAAGAATGAATCCAATAACTCAATTACAAAAGAAGAAACTGAGGATCAGGGAGGCTCTGTGCTTGTCTGCGATTTGCTGGGAGACTGGGCAGAGCTCCATCTAATAACGTTGTCTCTCACTGCCCATTCCAGCTTTGTCCTCCCTGATCCACACGCTTTTAAATCTCATGGAGCATTCAGAAGTTTCAAAAATAAGTATTAACTATTGTTTTATTCATAACGCAAACAAAAGTACAATGCCACATCTTTCTTACCTTTATCTGTTCAATTATAGTCAGATCTTCTGGCACATTAGGTTGGATGGCAATGATGATGTCTTCATAGCCATTGTCATTCAGTTGGACCAAGGAAGCATTCGCCCCCAGCAGCAAGTATGGGACTAAGAGGAAAGCCAAAGTTCTGGAAAACCCCATCGTTTCCCTCTACTTCTTTCTGAGCTGAATGCTCCTCTCTCAAGGAACTTTTCTTTCTCCTTTGCCTCAATATATAGAGGCACACACACACACACACACACACACACACA